GTAGTGGTTCTGTTTGGTGAATAGCTTATTTTTTTAGTTTAAAAATTTGATCTGTTGACTTGTGAAATAGAAAGAATTGGGGGAAAATGAAGTGGGATGGTTCTCTTTCGTGTATTCTTGGTGCTTCTGATTCAAAAATTTGATCTTATTAACGAACGAAGAGTAAGAGTAAGAATTTGAGAAAAAATTGAAATCTTTGGTCTTTGTTTCATGAATTGTATCCGTAGGTAATTTGCATGGCATCTCTATTGGTTGAGTAATTCAGTATTTGATACATCCCCGCCTGTATCGTTCAGTTTTATGTTTTTGATCTTTCGTTGATGGCTTTTTCTCGTTCATAAATTAGAAGTTTCCATGACCTTTGAAGCTTTCTTCTGTCGCTAAATTCGATCTTCCGCTATTGGTTGTGTGTTATTTAATCGATATCTTAGACTGATCTTACATGTTTTTGCTGTTTCAAATAGGTTGCATGGCTCATTTTTATTTATCTTTTCTGTATTTCGGGTCTCTGGTTCAAAGATCTATTCGATGGGGATTAGTAAAGTGAGAAATTTGGTATTCATAGCACTTTAATCCTCTTCTGTATTAAAGCTTCCACTAAGGTTAATAACTTGCGAGTCAACTGGTTCAAAGAATTTGGCACTTCCGTGCCTGTAATGGAAGGGTGTTTTGTATCGATAAAAATCTTTTGCAAGGAAGCTCGGGTTAAAACTTTTTCGATTTTGATTCATGTTGGTACTTTTAGATGATTGATTTTGACATGATACCTCCACTAAACAATTTGACTCTAATCCCTTGTTTGTCTGATACCTGTAAAATGTGAACATTCCTTTGGTAACTTATGTTCCCATTTTGTCAGGATTCGAGATTTTAACGCACTTTTGTGTGCTTACCTTCTGTTGAAATAATGGGCGTGGAAGTTGTGGAATCTAAGTTGCCCCATGTTTCTGGGGAAACTGCAGGTGAAGAAAACAGTTTGTTGAAGGAAAACGGGAAAATAAGCAACGTAATGGGGCTTAGCGAACCAATAACATTTGGATCCCATGGTATGGATGAACCGGTGAAAGGGGAAAAAAATAAAGCTGCTGAAGTCAACTTCCCCAAGGATGCAGTTGATGAATGGCCTGCACCTAAGCAGATACATTCTTTTTATTTTGTAAGGTATAGGTTACATGAAGATCAGAAACTCAAAGCCAAATTGGATCAGGCTGACACTGAGCTACAGAAGAAGAATCAAGCCCGATCCCAGCTCATTGAAAAACTGAGGAAACTGAAGGTTAGTGTTTTCTTTTGCATCCATCAATGAATTTGTCATGGTATTGTTATCTCTTTTGCATGCTTCTTATCTTTAAATGAAGATAAGATTCTAATCGAGTCTGTTCATCTTTTGCAGGCTGATCGAGCACAAAAGATTGCTTTCTTAAAGGATTTAAATAAAGAGAATAGGCAGTACAGGGAGTTGATAGATGAGAAGAAAAAGGAAAGGGAACCCTTGCAGCAGGCTTTGGGCCAGTTACATGGAGGCAGAGACAGGGGATCTGGTATATGTTCGTCTGAGGAAGAACTTAATCATCGCGTAAGCTTTGATGTTTTATATTTTTCAAGTGCAATATATATGCTACTTTTTCCGTATCCACCAACTTGTTTCCTTCTTTGTCTGCAATCCTTTGCTTTTCAACATTTTGGTGTTTTCGGAAACTTAACATGTCTTATACTTGAATCTTCAAACTTTAATTGTGAAAGAACAAGAAATCGTGTCCTTAACTTTTTGTTTTTCTTTTATGTCACAGATCAAAAGTTTGCAGTACCACATTCAACATGAAAGTATCACCCTTAATGAGGAGAAGCAAATCCTTCGGGAAATTAAACAGCTTGAAGGGACAAGGGAGAAGGTTATAGCTAATGCTGCTTTGAGGGCAAAAATTCAAGAGTCAATGGGTGAAAAGGAAGCCCTTGAAGACCAGATGAAAGTAACTTATACTTCTATTTTGCAGATTGCTTTATACAGCTCTTTACTAATATAGCATTTTACTTAGTTGTACTCATTACTGCAACTCTTTTATAGCTTATAAGAGTTGATATGGATGGAGTGCGAAAGGACCAGCAAGTGGTTTTGGCTAAGCGTAAACAACTTGAAGAAGAGAAGGAGGCTATTGAAAAGGAGATCAAGTCCTTGGAGGAGGAATTGACAGCTGTGACACAGAAAAGAGACAAAACTTTTGAAAATATTCAGGAATTAAGGAAACAACGTGAAGAAGGGGTATTGACATTTTCAAGTTAGATACTGTATTTCTCCCACATCATGCAATTTGCTAGTGAGAGCATATGATACACTTTTGCATCTAATTGCCTCTGTGTTTTACAACATTTTGGTTTTGCAAGGCTCTGATTTTGTGCTAATGTCTGCAATGGTGTAAGTATTTTGCACATTACTTGATAGTCTGTTGAAATTCCTATTATGTTTTTGAAAGTCTTAAAACAAACAGTGGTGTACATGCATTCTTGTTCAGAAAGTGCTTGTATTATGTACTAACAGGCTTAAAGTGAAGATGTAGACAAGATGCCAAATAGATTTACATGATTGAAAGTGTATCGTTACTGTAGGTTTCCAGTGATGACAAAATTTTATGATTACTTGTACAAGAAAGAACTTAGAGGTATTCTGTAATTCATGATGCCCAAAGATACCACTGCTCCCCTTTTTGCATCTTGCTGAGAATTGAGCTTTCTCATAAGCATGTGGGAAAATTTCAATTATTATTAGATTCTAATCTTCACATTAATGGAAAATGAGTTTCACGTGTTCTGATCATAGCTCGTGAATCTAAATGGTATTGCACCAGCCATCTGGCTTAACATCCAATCCAGCCTGAGGATCAGATCTGCCAATAAGCAGGGCATAGAAATAGCCACCAGAAGGCATGTTGAATAGGTTACACAGAGGAAAATATGCACTGTGACACCTGGTAGTGGTAGTCTTTTTCTGATGTCTTCTGATAGGTCTTATGTCATACCAAAAGAGAAAACATTCTTGAGAAATTTTAATTGCTTTTCCTCAATTTTCCTAATTTTTGTCCAGTTGGATGTCCACTGAAGTTGGTGGAGGTTTACTTCCCCGTTCCTGAAATTGCAGCTTAATTTTTTTTTGGAGTAAGAACCAATGTGTCAACAAAAGAGAAATAGATTATACCATAACCTAGTTGTTAATGTCTCACGAATTTAGTAAATGTGAATAACCTTTCATCCCTGATACACATTGAATTTTCCATTTTCTCATACTTTTGGAATTTTGTGATGATGTTGAAGTTTTAAATTTTCAGAACTCCGCCTTTTACCAAAATCGTTCTCTGTTGAACAAAGCTAGAGGCCTTGCAGAAAAGAAGGATGTTGAAGGCCTAAAGGAACTTTCAGAAACAGAGGTTGGTAGGAACTTGTGCTGTATATGTTCTAGAGTTGTTGTGGTTTAACCTTCCTGATTCTTTCATCTTTTTCTTGGTTAGGTTGATAAATTTATTTCCTCGTGGAGCGGAAGCAAGGGCTTCAGAGAAGATTATGAGAGGAGGATATTACCGTCTCTGGACGGTCGTCAATTGAGTAGGGATGGGCGGATGAGAAACCCTGATGAGAAGCCTCTAGTAGTCGTTGAGGTAGCACCTGCAGTTGTAACCGATGTAGTACCCAAGACAAATGTAAAACAGCCAAAAGAAGATACCAGTACTTCAAAACTTGATGCGACCCCTGTCCAGAAAGTTCAGAAGGAGAAGAGTACTAAGCAGCAGAAAGATGCGGGAGATGGAGAGGAATTTTTTATGCCTGAGAAGAAGCAAAACGATCCTCCTCCAAAGGTGAATGAAATTGATGAGTTGAAATTGAAGGAAGTGAAAAGAGAAGAGGAGATCGCAAAAGCTAAGCAGGCGATGGAAAGGAAGAAAAAGTTGTCAGAAAAAGCGGCTGCCAAAGCTGCAATCAAAGCACAAAAGGAAGCTGAGAAGAAAATTAAGGAAATTATTCTTCATTCATGATATTCTGTTGAAAATGATGAGTTGAATTTGATGTGTGTATATATATATATATATAAAATGTGGACTGATCCAAAATTGGCATTTATGTATTGCAGGAGCGTGAGAAGAGGGCAAAGAAAAAGGCCGGGGCTAACGTTGCTGCTACTCAGGAGACTGAGGAACAAACTGAAGCGCCTGCTGAGGTAGTTGAAGTGGAGAAGGGGGAGGAAACTGTTGAAACTCCGGCTCTGCCGAAAAGTAAAGACCGGAAGGAGAACGCTGTTAGACACAGAATTCGCCCCAGGGGTGCGGCGGATTCACTGCCAAAAGCTTTTCTCAGACGCAAAAAGGCGACGAACTACTGGTTGTGGGCTGCTCCGGCTGCTGCTCTAGCGCTGCTTCTGCTGATAGGAATTGGATATAACTATCTTCTCTAAATTTATCCGAGTCTTTCAGCGAAGGAAGGATTTTGTTCGGTTGATTGCGAGTGATTAGGCCTGTCTGTCTGTATTAAGTAGACATATATTATTATCCCTTTTTGTTATTATTAGTTCTTCATGTTTTTTCGTTCCTTTTGGCATCCTGATGGACGCAAAACTGATAATGGTGCTGCTAGATCCAGCCAGCCATCCATTTTGTAATGTTTATTTGAGTTTTAACAGTTGCTTTTAATTTTATCGGCTAAATTTCAGATTTTGACACCAAAAAAGAAACGGTAGATCCTCTTATAGCTTTTCTTTACTCAGTGAACGAGTTAGAGATGATGATGGCCGCATCCTAGTGGAAAAAAAAGAAAAGAAAGGAGAGTAGAGAAGATGGGAATCCATCAATCTTGTTTGAATTGTAGAACCAAAGGTAACTAACTATTACACGTTAATTATATTTTTATATGATAGGCTTTTAAAATTTTTATTAATTTTGGTATTATTATTTCTCTTAGTTTTCGCCACTTAAGTTATAATTAGATGTTACCCCTCCTATCCTTTCCTTTCCCTTCCAGCCTCACAAACCAACCCAGTTATTAGTCCAAACAAACATAAAAAATTTTATCCTTCGTTTCCTTTCCGTCCAACTCTCTCGAAACAAACAATGCGTAAATAACTTCTGAGAGAATAAAAGGGTCCGTTGTCGAGGTTTCGTTGATGTGGGCAGTACGCATACCGGCTATGGCTGCCACCAGCGTGGCTTCAGCTGCTCTGAGAAGAGCTCTTCACTCACTTGAATTCCTTCCTCCTCGTGCCATTGGCTTCAAAGACAAGTTCTACTACTCCAGGCCTCTTCTTTTTGCAACTCCTCTCCATTCATCGTCAGGTCCGTCAATTTTATCTTTCTCCTACCTTTCTTTTCCCTTGTGGATGGCATAAATTTGTTTTTTTTTTTGCTTTACGGTTTATCTTGTCCGATTTTTCAAATTTCATGACCCGATTGGCTGAATCGTACGAAACAGCTTCAATTGTGGAGCACTTGATTAGCTTCTCTGTATAGTATTATTTAAAAGGAGGACTGAGGAGTGATGGTTAACTTCAGTGTTATGCCTTTTAATGGTAAATGCAACAAATGAGCCTTATTATTATTATTTTTTATCAACTTTGTAGCCGGAAAGGTTGAATCCTCAGGGTCGGTCTTGCTATATGCGGGAGTTTCTAAGATAAAACACTGCTATTATGTTTTCTTGAAATGAACTTTTTCTTTTCATGGTATTTGTTCGGGTGTTTAGAATAGCTGGTGGAATAAGAAATAAGAAATTTTTTGGCTTTGGGAGTCTTGTTTTGTGGAAAGTAGGGTGATTAAACTTGTTCTGAGAATCTAGTGCGTATGGCTACTTGGAATTCATACACGGTTGTTACTCAAATACTAAATGTTACATAATCTAGCAACTCTTAGTTGGTAGAGTGTGTCCCTTTAGTAAATGCACTCTGCCAATTTTAGTCTTGAGCAATCTGATCGCTGGAAAGAGATTGTTCCTTTGATGGAAAGGGCTATATGCATCTTGTATGAATGACCCAAGTTCTTTAAGTGGCTTCCTAATGTTCATTGCTTGGAGACATCTATTTCTCTACTTGCTGTCTCAATGGGGTGATTCATTTTTTATGCTAAAAATGCTACTATCATGGCTGATGACTTGTACAGTTCTTCATGCTCTTGCAACGCAGCTTTGGGTCTATGCCAGCTATCACAGGCTATAAAGAGTGATACAGATTTTTTACTGAAAGGAGTGGGAGACAAGGACACAAATGAAGATGTCAAGCGTGTGCTTGAAATGGTACATACTCATTTAAAGTTTGCAAACGTTGATTTACCCAGTTTCCTTGCTGTGTCTTTTTTGTTTCTTTCTATTTATCTCCAAACACCTTGTTCCCCAGTAGTTGGCAAAGCACATAGACTTTTCTAGATTTGACTAGATAATTTTGTAAGAGTTCTACTTATGGAATCAGTTTGTATTTATCCATCATCCTCATGGATGTATTAGGCAAAACGAGCAGCAACTAGGTGCGAAATTCTACATACTGGCTTTCTTACACCACCTGTACTGAAGGAGTCAATCCAAGCTTTGAAAGATTTGGTTGACATTAAAACAGTTGCTCAAGGAGGATATCCAGAGGTTTGATACAAAGGATTTGTCGCCATATGTCAAGTATTTTCTCTCAAATTATTTATGATTTTTATGTTTTTATTCCTGTCAATTATGCTAGGCTGAACGCTGCCGACTCTCAGTCGGACATCCAGAAGTTTTGACAAGTGATCCTGATATTGTTGCAGCTTTAAGGTATTCATGTGACCAGTCCTCCATTTTGTTGGCTGAGTTAGATCTAGAATTGTTAGTAAATTGTGAACTGGCTCCTGTTTCCAGTGTTTTAGGTAACTTTGGATTCCAGCCTTGCTCTCATGGTGACTTCCTTGGTGCAATCCTTGGTACAGGGATTACGAGAGATAAGCTGGGTGATATTATTTTGCAGGTAGGTTCTTCATTTAACTGCTGTTACACATTATGCTTCTTGAACTATAGGGAAAATTCATTTGAAAACCTTCCACCATTGAAATCTCTGTTTTGCAGCAGGGTTCTTCTCTTTCTTGTCCTTTACATATAAGCAAACCCCTCAATAGAAATTTCTTTATGATACAGTCTTACATCAGTTGAAGCAGTAAACTTCGTATATATCTGTAATGAGTCCTTATGTTTCTATCCCTCTAGATCTAATTTCACTGTTTATTTAAATTTTCTAAATCTGTTTAATATGTGATATATCGTCTAACAGTCTGAATATTTGACAGTGTCATTTGTGACGATGAACACACAAGTTATAGGATGTATTAACTGAATTTGATTTGTAGACAGTATACTTGGCATTTTTTTTTTCTATCTAATTTCTATAGAATTTGTACATGGTCAAATTCAGTTACTGTTCACTTCAGATTTGAATAATTTTATCACTTCCTAGCTTGATCACATAATTATTACATTTTGATTTTTTTAAATTTTTTTCTTTCTGAAATTTAGGGAGAGAAGGGGGCTTACATTCTTGTGGTTCCAGAGCTTGCTGACTACCTCACATCATCCTTGGACAAGGTAGGCCTGTCCTATAGATTGCTTCCTAGCTATACATTCTCTGCCAATTGTGTTTCAATTAAAAAAAAAAAAAGTCAATTAACTCACTGCACTTTATCTTTGCTTATGGTTTGATAAATTAGATCATCTTGGCATATAATAGTTTCAATTATTCTAGAGTGCATCAAATCCTAAAAATTTTGTTGAGCTGCAGGTATAGTTTTATATAGAAAACCTGAAAGGTTTAAAAGGCACAAATTGTTCTATATATATTTTACAGTCTTGAATGTTTGAGAGTAAAAAGATGATTGTCTAATCATTGCATGGTATAATTGGTAAACATCTAGTGTCTAAATTCCAGAGGAGTTAAGAAACTGAAGTAAATAATCAGCATTTTAATAATTTCTATTATCATTTGCAGGTTGGAAATGTTTCAGTCACCTGTAAAAAGATACCATTGCTGGCTATTGAATATGAACTGCCCAGGTTCAAGCTGTTCCATATGTGATTTTTGTTTTAATTATTGAATGAAAAGTTTTTGTTTGGCTCCGTCTGTAGACTAAAATCCATTTTTCCTTATTATAGAACCAAGGCTTTTAAAACTGTAGAATCATCGCTCAGGCTTGATGCCATTTCTAGTGCTGGGTACAAAATTTCACGAACAAAAATGGCTGCTTTAATCAGGTATGGAATAACAGAAACACTACAGTTCTTCTTCATTTTTTTTTTTTCATGTTCTGTTACCCTGTAAGATGTAGCAACAAAGATATGATGGTGAGCATCTGGTTATTGAAGATGTCTTTTATGGCTTTTGTTGGCCTCAACTTTTAGAACAGTCTCTTAAAACTCAGTTGTACTATTAGCTAGCACAACGAACTAAAAAACTTAATCTTAATTTACAGTAATGGAGATGTTCGTGTGAATTGGACCGGTGTGTTGAAAAGCAATACTAATGTTAAGACCGGAGACATCATCTCAGTCAGCGGAAGAGGAAGATTGAAGGTGAGATTGTGTGTCAAAACTATTTTTGAATGGTCGTCGTTTATAAACTTAGAATACTAAAAAATCATCTCAAATATTTGTGAAGTGTGAATTGAGTACTGTCCTGTCACCTTCTGTTAACCATCAAATGTTCTTTTTATCATCAGATAGGAGAAATAAACTCAACAAAAAAAGGTAAGTTCGTGGTTGAACTGATTCGATATATGTGAGCAGCAAAAGTCAAAGTATCTTGATTCGGATTGATCACTAGATGCTGCTCTATTATTATCTTCAGCGTCGAACTTATTTCAGATCCAGCTATAAAAAAACTCTAAGCCGTATTACACTGGTGCGGTTGCTATCCGAGAACAATTAGCAGATCTAGATTTGCGAATTATTCTAGAAAATTCGTTAGTAGAATGGAAAGAATTGGGGGAAGAGGGTGAGTTTATATCTCCAATTCATTCAGCTATAAAAATGACAAAGCTTTACAATGTACTTTTCCATGAACTTTTGACTCGCAAGCGTTATGGTATTTTTTCTCATAGACGGACATCGTGTAGTGTACAAATTTCATAACAACAGAGAAAAAAAAAAGGTCATATATGGCCGTTCTTGTATGATTTGTTTGCTTTTCTTAGCAGAAAATGTGAATGCAACACTTTGTGCTTCAATCATTTTTGCCTGTGGAGAAAATGTCGAGAAGCTATAGTTTTAGATCTACCCGTTCATGTTGCCAAGTTGTAAACCTTAGATAACTCTCCTTCATGCAAATGGTCTTATTATTAGTATTTTTTTTTTCCAAAAGAGCACATTCGTGCAGTTGAAATGTCTGGATACTGTGGATTTGGGGAAAAGAGGAAAGTCATATGGCGTAGCCAAATGGCAATAAATGTTGAATGAAAAGATTGTTAAACCCCCCATATCGACTCAGGGCTTGTACAGCTTGTTGATATACCTTGTGTGGAATAAAATGTTTCTGCCAAAATGAATTACTTGGAGAGGAAAAGGAAAAGGAATATAATTCGAGGTGGTGGGGGTGGGTGGGTCAATAAACTAAGAAGAGGAAGGGGTGCCAAATCAAGATCTTGGGATTTTTTTTTTTATCGAGACGATAACTGTTGTATAACTTATTCTATCCTACACTGGAGGGGAGGTACACAAATCTTACTAGACTAAAGGAATGTTTTGGCACCACCATTAGATTTTTTTCGCTGTAGGTGGGATTTGAACCCTCACCTATAGCCTAAAGAGGGACTTCAGTCCCACTTGGTGGCCATTGAGCCAAGATCTGTGGTTAAGATCTTGGGATTGATTTGGTCCAAGAAACATTAGAGCTGCACCAATATCGTTACCGAAGAAAGAAATGCCCAATTTGCTTGAGCAATCAAGTTGGATATAACTCCTGGTTAAGTCAGCTGGAGAAGTAACATTTTGAGTAACCAAATGATCAAAATACCGTAACATACATCCATAAAACAGAAAAGAAGTCTCTCGAGGAAAATGATCGTAAAAGTGAAATGAAATGCCCGACCATGGAACCTCATTATCGTTGCTCTTTTCATCCTCTCCTTCAGTTATCATCATGTACTCAAATCTGAAGTGAGGTAGAAGAAACAAACAAATGCAACGGGAATAAACAAAAGTAGAAAAAGAAAAATTAAAACCCCCATTATTCAACCACTATGTATGCAAGTATAAGAGTATTACATACAAAAAATCATCAAAATTCCAGCATCTGCAAAAATCTACCGACTGTATGACCGTTCATGAACTGGTCGTTCATGCCATCTTAATGCAATAGAGAAAAGCTGAAGAGATCCATGTCTTACTCTCCAGTCCAATATGGTCGATCCCTTTAAGGTAACAAGTCCCCTTCCAAGGGAAAAGACTCCAAATTCTTCCCCAAATCATTTCGTGCATGCACGCACATGCATTATTGGGGTGTGAATGCGTGATTAAGCGTAGCCACAGTATCCATGGCCACATTTTAGGCCCTTTTTGCACCTTCCACCACACTTGCCGCAGTTGTAACGGTCGTACATGACATTAATGCATCTTCCACCACAGCACTTCTCGTTTAACTTGCACTTGCTCCCACATCGGCCGCAGTTGTTTGCGTCTCCGAGCACATTCCTGCAATGATTTTTGCAGCAGTAGAGAAGACTTGTTCCTCCGTTTGCCCACACACCATTGCATTTGTTCTTCTTTTGAGAGTTGCAACTTGAGCCTTTCTTGACGCTGGCCAAGAACCGGCTTCTCAAATGAGTGTGTGCAAATGGTGCGTCTAGGATGTACTCTTCCTGATCATCGTCATCTTCCAGAATGGTGGCTGAGGAGGAAGAAACCGACGTTTGAGAGTGCAATAAGGCGAGGGATAGAGAGAGAACGGTGAGGAGCTTGAGTAACTTGGTGGCCATTGATCTTCTTGGCAGCTCAAGCAAGGGATGTTCATGTACAAGCTTGCAAACTAAGGCAAGAAGACATTGGAATTTAAATCGGGGATTTTTTGTCATTTGCGATTAAAGAAATCCATTTCTTTATAAGAGAATTAATTACATGGCATGTGTGATTAGAAGAAAAATTCCTAGTAATTACTACGAGGTTCTGTGAAGCTCTAGATTCCCGCCTGGTTTACTCGTTTTAGTAGTAAGAAATCAGGAGCTTATTGGTTTTGACCTTTAGAGGAGAGTTTGAATATATTTGAAGTTGGAATTCAATTAATTATGTGACCCACGAATACCAACTGATTACAATTAAACTAATGAAATTCTATGATGCAGGGAAAGAAAAATAAATGCATTTTCAGTTTGGAACTGAAAAAGTTTCCATCTCCAACAATATCATTATTGAGTAATATATGCACGCTTTGTTTTTGAAACATGGCTGTTTTTGGGGGTATTCTTGAAAAATTTTATTGTATTAGTATATATGAAAATTTTTTACTATAAATATTTTTTTGAAATATTAGATATATTGTATGGATTAAATATTTTTTGAGTTATTTTTATTTGTGTATTACTGTAACATTGTATTTGAAAAACTTAGTTTTTAAAAAAATGGCCAATCCAAACGAACTGATTGTCTCTGAATTTTTGAATCTACATAATCCTTTTTGCCGTTAAATTTCTTGTAAGAGAGCAATTTTAAAAAAGAACATTATTATTGGTCTATCCTAACTTCGTAACAAGTTGAAAATACACAACAGATTTTTTTTTCTTCTTTAATCATAGAAAATCAGACTTACAATGTAGTGATTATAAGCAAATGTTATAGAGGGAATCATATAATTTTGGCTACTCGTATTCATGAATAATTTTATAAATATTTCGATAAACGACTTGTAATTTTAATAGCATGTCATGATTCGTGATGGTGATTGGAATCGAATTCATTTAAACATATATATATATACACATGCGCGCAAGAATTTCAAATTTCTTGAATTTTAGTGTGACAATACTAATGAATAGTGGTGGGCAATTTTTATTTTGCCTAGTTGGTGCCGGATGATCATTAGGCCACCGGAGAGATTATTGGCTACGCTTTGACCTATTAGAAGATGAAAAGTCCGACACGCGGAAGAGCGGTGGATCCCCACAACCCGGCGGGCAATACGGGGAAGTAGCGATTGGTCTTAGTGTTCAATGCCAGATCCTAGCCGTCAGGGGCAGCGGCTACGTGTAACTATTTGGGTTTTTGAAAAAATTAATCGTTTGTCAGACCTTTTTTTTTTTTTTTTTTTGTCTTGATTAATCAGTGAGTTTTCTTCCATATCAACTGAACTAAGCCATGGTTTGGTCTGGAGATCACATGGTTGACTTCGGCTAGATCACATGCCACAATACCATAGGTGCAGATAGTGGCAAACCCAAGGAAATGTTTATTCTTTAACCTTTTTTATTTTGTTTGATACTTGAAAGAAATAAAGAATGTAAAAAAGAAAAAGTCTAATTGTTGAACTTCGTCCCTTTTCTTTTCTGATTATTCAGTAAAATTCTACTTTTAACCTATATATATATATATATATATATATATATATATATATATATATATATATATATATATATATATATACACATTCTAGAGAAAATTCTGTATTTTTGTTAGACTTTCGTCTTAACTTTCATTTTTCATGAAGTTTCGATAATTATAAAACGAATCTAAATAAGGAAGGAGAATCTTTTGTCTCATGATCATTGTTTTGATTTTAAAGTTTTCTGAATACTTTATCGAACATATATCAATATGAAACTAGAAATTTACATAATAGATGTCAAACAAGATCGTATACAGGCACTTGATCTCAAAAGATGGTGAAATTGTTACTGGAATCTAGTAGGTCATTTACTTCTGATTCTCTGAAGGAACAACATGATCATGAGCAGAAAAAAGGAAAAAAAAGAAAAAGAAAAGGCATGCTAGACAATTTTGTACTTACTAACAAAATTTGGTAACTTTGTTGTTGTGAATAATGATATTTCGATACGAGACTTAGTGCTGATTAAGCTGCACATGTTTTCAAATACCTGTAACCAGCTGCAAGCTTCCAGCCCCTGCCAGTAACAAGTTAGTTGTACATTTTCTTATTTAGCAGTAACACTTTGGTCTCCAGGCTTCTCGACCAGTTACCAATTGGCTGGACGTGGAAGTTTGGTGGGTCCCCTTAGATTGCTTAGGCCGGTCTTTCCGTTAACTCTCTGAGTATTTCTAATCTAATTATCTGCCTATCTTTGAAAAAAAGTAACACTTTGGATTAAAAACATTTTTTTGGAAGGAATGAATTTGGGGTGGATCCTGAAGTGACTTTGGTGGTGCATGTGCTAGCTGAATCCCACCGACGTCCCTCATCTCATGAGTCATGATGCCACCCCAAACTCTAGTCTAACCCCTCACGCTTGGAAACCATAACAAAAATATTAATAATTGGAAGAGAAAGAGCTAACACACACACACACACATTCTCTTATAAATATATATATATATATATATATAAAAGAAGTCAACACGAGAAACAAATAAAAAGAAGGGAAGGGACCCCCCCCCCCCAACAAAAGAAAAAAACAAAATATAGAAACTTGACCATGACTTTGGAGGTCAATAAATATGTTGAAGAGCTCGTTCAATGAACCTAATATACCACTACAAGTTGGTTGGTTTTATTAGAAAAATAGGAAAGGATTGTGGTGATAAGTGGTCAAGCTTTACAACTTGCTACCAAGTCTCTATGATATTATTAAGTAGTACATTGTTCTACACCTCTAATAATCTCTTGCCCGAATGATCAAACAAATTTTTTTCCTTTTTCTTTTTTTTTTTTAAAAAAAAGGAGGAGGGACAAATTTAAAGTCAAAAAATTTTAGTATCATGCTTTGAAGTTTCAATCTTTTGATCGATTTTCTCAGAGGAAACTAATCATTATTTATGAAAAGACTAAGATAGAGAAGGTTGTGAAAATGATTGGCTGGAAAGATCATTAGGCAAGACTTGTACATTTTATGTCATATGCATCACACCTCATGTGGATTAGGTTTGTGGGCTTTCACGGGGATTAGGTTTGTCCAAATATCAAAAGTCCTTTAGGCTTGAAAAAAAAATAAAAAAAAAATCACACGTCATGTGAGATGTGCTCATAATTGAAGGGAAAACGACTGCTAATCATGCACATTACTTCGTTGGTTAGTGGTTTTTTCATATTCGGTGGAGATTAGATCATGCACATAATTAACGTAATCCACTAATTAGAAGTGTCAATGCATCGTTAAACTAACAATTATCTTATTCTACCTTTGCTTGTATCAGCTCAATGGGCTTACTCTATATGTAATGTTTTTTGCTTTCAGAAAAATAATTATAAATTCAAATAGAACAAAAACAAAAAGGAAAAGGAAAAAAAGAGGACCACTCAAACTTTGTGGGTGGTTGGTTGGGCCCTAAAACTGGGTAGTTAACCTAACCTTGTCCACAAGGGTGTTGAGGATTTACTAACCACTTCAGGGCGGAATCCAGAAGCTGAGCAGAAGGCCCAAGGTTCTGGTGTCTTGGGGGGGCAGAACTAGTCCAGCCCATTAATCTTAGAATCTAAAATGTACTGAGAATTCAAATTCAAATCCTTCAAACCCCCGCCCCATTTCACTGTCGAGACTGAGAAACCCATCCACCCTCTCCAATGGCGAACACCACCAATACATCAACCTTTCTAACCTCCCCAACCCCAACCAAAACCCCTACAGCCGAAAAGCCTACTGTTACCTCCTCCGTATCCAAAAGGCAGCACCACCAACTATCCGACCGCAGCACCACCCGATCGTCGGACTTCAAGACCCGGTTCGAGGCCTACAATAGGCTCCAGTCCGCCGCCGTTGCCTTCGGCGAGAAACTCCCGATCCCCGAAATTGTTGCCCTAGGCGGTCAGTCAGACGGGAAAAGCTCTCTGCTTGAAGCACTCCTCGGGTTCCGGTTCAATGTCCGGGAAGTGGAGATGGGGACCCGGCGCCCCCTCATTCTCCAAATGGTCCATGATCCGACAGCTTTGGAGCCCCGTTGCCGCTTTCAGGTTATTGGATCAATCGAATAAGCATAGTACAGTACAAGCTTCTTTCTTATAATAGTTTATGACCGTTGTGGGTTTTATCTTTTAAAATTGGTAGGAAAAGTCGAAATTTTTAAAAACATAAAAATAAAAGAGTTAAACTTTGCATAGGAACTCTTGATTTAAGTTTGATACATGCCAAATTTGTTGTATGGGCTGCAAAACAACTGATAATTTGGAAGCAATTATGACAGTGCTTGATTTAAGTTTGATACATGCCAAATTTGTTCTATGGGCTGCAAAACAACTGATAATTTGGAAGCAATTATGACAGTGCTTTTTACATATTTGGGAAATTTTGCTTGAGACTTCAGAGATATTTAAAGAAGAAATTACTGTCCATGCATTTTCTGGATTTGTATTCTAGTGCTACTATTCCAATCCAACAAGAGATCAAAGCTCATATTTTTTCTTTAATTATAACGATGTCAATTATATTGGAATATAAGTAAAGGGAGAGCTGAATTATCATGGCTATAAATTTTAGGAGGAGGATTCAGAAGAATATGGAAATTCCTTAAGTTCAGCATCTGCCATAGCGGATACCATTAAGCTTCGTACAGAGGAACTTTTGAAGAAGAACAAAACTGCTGTTTCTTCTAAACCTATTGTGATGAGAGCAGAATATGCTCACTGTCCCAATCTCACCATCATCGACACCCCGGGCTTTGTTCTCAAGGTTAGTTATCTGGACACGCATGCATTCGTGAAACTAAAGGAACATTTCATGGTTTTGAGTATGTGAATTTTGGTTTTCTGCACTTCTCGGTTGTTGAATGAATTGGTTAACAGGCAAAAAAGGGTGAACCAGAAAGTACACCGGATGAGATTCTATCAATGGTGAAGGCACTAGCTAGTCCTCCTCATCGCATTCTTTTGTTCCTTCAACAGA